AAGGAAAAATAAAGCTGTCTAGAGATGAGTGGAACAGACCCGTGTTGGTAGTAAATGTTCCCTTGGCAAGGTGAGCATTCTGGAGCCCAGCCTCTAGAAGTAGGTGCTGATGCCATCTTTCTCCACCTGCAGGCCTGAGTGCACTCAGTGTGGCCTTGCCAGGGAGCACAGAGCCTGTCTGGGGCTAGACTGGCCCCGTTGGACAACCCATTAGCCCCAGCTATCAAAGACATCTGCCTGCTCTGATTACCATCACAGAAGAGGAGTGGCAATGGCCCCCAGCACTCCATGGTTGGGGATCCCTGGGTCCCCAAGCAGGACACAGACTATGGCTGCTTGCAATGTTGCAGGCCAAGAAAGATCAATTCAGATGGTGCTTTACAGCTCCCTCCTCCAAGAAACACATTCAGGCTTCTAGCAATGATGTGAAATCACAAGCTAGCTGACGTAACTAATACAAAGTGCTTATTCACTAAACAGGGAGAGTTTCACACTGTAACTCAATTTGTATTGTATAATGGGATCTGAGTGAGGCTGACAGGAGCCATATATACTGGACAGGCAGTCTTGGCATCAAGGGGCCCAGCAGAACAATGTCCAGTACAGCTTCCCAGGGCCTAGGCTATTGCTCCCAAAGGCCACTCCACCCAAATATTCAGTCACTCTCACCTTCCTTCAAGGGAAGTCTCAAATATTTCTCAGCTATTATTGATAACAATTCCAAGTCAAACAACCCTGTCTCCCATGTGCACTCTCAACTCTCTAACAGTGTCCACCACAGTGAGTACAGAGAGGAGCTCTGTACTGAGCACTACTTGGTACTCACTGAGTATTCCAGGGTCCTCAATGCCCCAGAATCTCAGAGAAGTTCCCCTGATTTATAGGCTCCAGATACCCTACCAATAAGTGTGCACCTATCTTTTTTGGGGAAAAAAATGGGCTAATGAGATTATCAGAGCTCTAGTGCAGCAATTGGCTCACTTTATGCTCAGATCTGAGTTCCCAAGTGGAGGCAAAGGCTGAGAGGCGTGACAGGTCTAGAGCTGCAGGGTGAGAACTCATCCCTGAGACAGGCTACGCAGCCATCAGTCGGGATGCTGGGTTAGTATACAGACACCAGGGATGGGACTCAGACAGGCCAGCCCCATGCTCTTACAAGGGTACCACCCTACATAGCTGCAAGCAAGTAGCAGAGTCCCTGCCAGGAACCCAAACTGGAAGCACCATGGACAACATGGATAGACCTTTCTAGAACAGGCCTAGGGAGGGGTCCTGGTTGTCAGTCTCCCTCCCTCCCACCTTCCTTGCTAAGGTAAGGGAATCACACTATCACTTTCTCGGCAAGACTGCAAGTGGCACACAGGGAGACCATCAGGACAGAAAGTCACCCCCAATTCCCAAAGGAGGAACCTTAGGCTCAGGCCTGGCCACGTTTCAAGGAGACAGATCTGATACCTGATGTTGGCTCTGCCTCCAGTTCCCAATGCTCCCTCATGCACAGTGCACTGTAGAATTTGGACGAAGCTTCCTCAATTAGAAGGGACATTCAAGATTCTGGTACAAACCCTGAACCACTCTTGGCTAACGTTGGAGCTTCACCTCCTCTCCCCTCCATCCACTCAGAAGCAGGACTTAGGAACTGGGAGAGATGAGTTCTGTCCTCTCCTCTGCCTCATCCCAATGTGTGGCTCTCAATGTGAGTCTCAGCTTGCCATCTGTAAAGTGGCCAGCTGAACTGACGGTATCTATAGCTTCCAGCTATTCCCACTTACAATTCAATAGGCATGCAGAAGGTGTTCAGTACCTGTTAGCATGCTGGAATCCACAAAGCTGGAACTGATGGAGGGAAGGCAGCAAGCCTATCTCTCACCCAGGCTGAAGAGTTACTGATCTCAAAGCCCCCAGTGAGGGCTGAGTACTTCCTGGAGAAAGTTAAAAAGAGAGCTGGGCCCCCTGAAAGGGCACATTTGGGTGGGCAAGAGGTGGCCATCTCAAAAACATAGTGTGTCCCCAGCAGCTAAGATCTTCTTTGAACTACTGACTCACAGAAGATAAGGAACCTACATTTTGAGGTCACTCAATTCCTTTTAATGATTCCTAAGTGCTTCCTTACAACTTTCTATAAATCCACCAGCTCATCCCCACTCCAGAACTCCACAGGCAACTTCTTTAGGAGTCAGTAACTGGGAGAAATGTTGATACTTCCAGCTAATTGTGTTGATACCATAACCATTCAAAATGGCCTCATAAACAGCTCTTATAGAACAGTTAGTATGGCTAAGTCCAAATCAAGATAATACTATTGCTTATTATATCTCTATAAATTTATTTTATGGAGAGGGAACAAGGTGCTCTTATATTCTCAGATTACTCAGATGCCAGATCCAGAGGAAGTAGGAAAGACTTCATGAAGAGGTGCCCTGTGGGGATAATTCATTAGGAATAATTGTGGTTTATAACAGCAAGAGCTATCAGGAGATTGTGTGTGTACATATGTGTACATGGTGTGTGTGTGGGGGGGGGGGTCTTGGTCCTGGAGCTTGAACTCAAGGCATGAGTGACCTTTTTTGCCCAAGGCTAGTACCAGTTTTCCGGTGGATTATTGGAGATAAGAGTCTCACAGACTTTTTTGGCTGGGCTGCTTCAAACCATGATCCTCAGATCTCAGCCTCCTGAGTAGATAGGATTACAGGTGTGAATCACTAGCACCCACTGAAGCAACTTTTTGTAAGTGAAATGAATTAAGAAAACAGATTATTCAGGCATGTTCACCTTTAGTATTAAATAAATCATCTAGACCAGTTCCCTTTGTGTGGGTGGAGAGAGAGGGAGAGAGAAGAGAGAGAGAGAGAGAGAGAGAGAGAGAGAGAGAGAGAGAGAGAGAGAAGGGAAAGGGAAAGGGAAAGGGAAGGAGAGAGAGTTCAGTAGTCTGTATCATCTTTTTGCCAAAGAATAGTGTCTACAGGACAGAGGCCAGAAACTCTATCTACTCAAGCTACTCAGGAGCCAGAGATAGAAGGATTGGGTTCTGAGGCTGGCTTGGGTAAAGTTAGCAAACTGAAAAGCAAAGGGACTGAGGCATGCATGGCTCAAGGGTTAAAGCATCTACCTAATAAACATCAGACCCTATTTAATCCTCAGTTCTACCAAAAAGAAAAATAGCATCACAGTCCATTTTATGACGCTGTAAAAGAATAAACTTAAGGTTGTATAATTCATAAGGAAAAAGAAGTCTATTTGGTTCACAATAGCGGTGGCTGGAAAGTCCACATGGCAGCACATGTTGCAAGGCTCTCAAGCCATATTACATCACAGTAGATGGTATAGAGTCATGTGCTAGAATGAGAGGGAATAATAGGGCCTAGGTAGCTTTTAACAACTGTCAGCATTATAACATAGTCCCATGGGAGTTAGAATTCTAGTAAGGTGACATCAATCCATTCACAACCTAATCCTCTTGACGCTGCCATATTGAGAAGTTAAGCTTCAATGTGAGTTTTGGTGGTGATAAACCATTAACAGGCTTCTAGGCAGAGGCATGTGAGAGCATGGGCTCCCAGGACATTTATGAGACTAGAGACCATGGACTACTGCTTCAACCTCACAAGGACTTGACTCTGATACTCTGTGAGGGCACCTCACAGCCAGGATGCATCAGCCCATCTCTGCTCTGTGTAGAAGCTCCTGTTGTGCTGACTCTAACATAAAATGCTAAGCAGTCCGGAGAACAAGCCCCCAGATCTGCACCAAAATGGAGGTTTGGCATTCTTCATAGTGCTTAACAAGTTCTGAAATCAGTTCATGTAGGTTAATCATTAGAAAGCCACAAGCACACTATATAATACTTGGATAAAGCCATGTAGTAAATACTGTATGATCCAGAAAGAGCTCTTGTCATCTGTTTACAGGAATACAGACACTCCTGTAATACAAAAGACTTTTGGTCTTTACCAAAAGTAAAGCAAGTTCTGGCCATTATTATTTGTTTGTGAGATTTTTGCCACTACTAGGACTTAAACTTACTTCTCCACATTTCCAAACATCTAGTTTTTTATTACTGTTTTTGTTAGGATAAATCCAACAATAACACTTTCCCATAATTTGTGTCTAAAATTGATTTAAAATTTTTCCACTAGATGAAGGGTCTAGGTTACCCCGAGCATTCGTTTTCTTCAAGTTTCCAGTGTTTCTTGGAACTTATAGATTCACTGTAGCTCTTAAAAGGAAATCTGTTGCCAGATCCAGTGGCTCATATCTGTAATCCCAGCTTCCAAGGAGGCTGAGATAAGGAGAATGGTGGTTTGAAGCCAGCCCAGGCAGAAAATTCCTTGAAACTCCATCTACAAAATTATGAATGATGAACGGACAGACAGACAGATAGTTAAATAGGTAATCTCACAAATGAGGCCAGGTTCAGGAACTGAAAAAAAGCAAACCTGAAAATCACTCCCATCCATCCTTTCTTCCTTTAAATGCGAAATGGGCTACAATCTCCCGAGATGGGTAGTATGAGAAGGCAAATCATTCAACAGAAAGGAATATATACCATTGTTTTGAATAATACAAGACTCATCCTAGGCCTCTTGACTCCAAGATTTAGCATAATAAAAGATTCACCTAAACCCATTGTCCGTGTTTGAGAACTCAGCGAAATGATTAGAAGTGACCAAGTGTATGTAAGGGTTCACGCTGGAATCCCTCAGCTCAGAAGGTACAAGCAATTCCAGGCCACCTTTAGCTTACCTTTCAACCTTGGAAATCCAGCCCAGTGTTAAATGTCTTTTGATTAGAATCCCACCTGGAAAATCCTATAGCACTTGGCATATCATCCTGCTGTGCTAGACTGAGGCCTCTGCTGGGCATGCTGGGCACAAAGCAGAGTAAACTTCTTGTATAACTCCCTCCTGCAGCTCTTTGAGTCCAAGAAGCTTTCAATTGTTTTGGTATGTTTCAGGTTCTTCACCTCTTTATCTGGAATAATTGTTTCTAACCTATGGACTTTACTTTGGGGCCTGCATACAGCAGCATATTCTGCGAAGAATGGTGGCTATGCTGTGAGCCACCCTCCTCCAGCCCCATCTATTCAAGCTAGAATCTGTGAACTCATCATTCAGCTGCCCAGAGGAAAGGGTGTTTTCCTCTGATCCACATCGCTCATTGCTGCTCAAAAAGAAATAACAGTTATGAGAAAGCATAGAGTCATGGCATGGGCTTACACTGGAACTGGGAATCTTTTGCAGGAAGCAGAGGGGAATGGCAGGCAGAGTAACACTTAGGCCTCTCTTCGTTGGTGACTGCTTGTCATCATAGGGCAAGTGAAATTCAGATGAGATGATGGTGTTAAGCTGAGTAGGTAAACTGGCTGTCCTTCGTGGAGGGAGAGGGAAGGCAGAAAGGTCTTCAGGAGTTGGGCATGGTGGAACAGTCAAAGGCACTGTTTTAACACTGGTGACAGTCTTCTTCAAGTGTTCTTTTATTACAAGGTATGTGCCCATGGCTTCATTGAATGCTCTATCCAGAATAGATTTGCAGATCTCAGCTAGATTGTACCCCATGTCACACATTACTGCAACAATAATGGGATCCAGCTCACTGGGCAGTGGCTCATCAGAACACGGGGCACATTCCTCAACTTGGTTGAGCCATGGGTGCTCAATTATTTGTTCGATACTGGGCCTCTGCTTTGGGTCTGCAGTTAGCAATTGGAAGATGATATTCCGCCCTTTTGCAGACAGGTAAAATGGAGCAATGTACCTAGCCTCCAGGACCAGTACCTGTATCTGGCTAAAATTGATCCCCTGAAATGGGAATTTTCCTGTTAGCATAAAATACAAAAGGACACCCAAGGTCCAGATGTCCACCTTACAACCATCATAATTTTCACGCAGGAACATTTCAGGGGGACGGAATATCAAGGCACCACATACATCCTTCAGCAACTGCCCTGGCGTGGTCCGGATGCTCAGGCCAAAGTCACTGACCTTGGCATTGCCTTTGGCATCCAACAGGATGTTGGTGGGCTTAAGGTCTCGGTGTGCAATTCCATTCCGGTGAAAGTACTGCACAGCACTCACAATCTGTTTGAAGAGTCTCCTAGCTTCATCCTCGAATAGACGGCTGGATTTTCGGATCCACCCTAGGAGGTCTCCCTTGGTGGCCAGCTCCATAACTAGGTACACATGCTCGTCCTTCTCCATAACCTGGTACAACCTGATTACATGTGGGTGATGTACAGTCTTAATAATGTCCACCTCATTTTTGATCCGATGATTGTAGAACTCACCCTTCAGGAGTATTTTCACTGCCACTTGGGTGCCTGTGAGGCGGTGATAGGCTAGTTTCACATATCCAAAGCTGCCATAACCAATGATCTCCTTCATATGGTATTGTTCAATGATCTCTTCATCCTCCGAGGAGCTTGAAGATAATTCGCTGTATTCTGCCATCTTTCTGCTAAGATGGCAAGTAGCAGATCTAATTAAAATCAGCTAAATGCAGCCCGGTGCCAGTGGCTCACACCTGTAGTCCTAGCTTCTCAGAACACTAAGATCTGGGGGTAGTGGTTTGAAGCTGGCTGGGGCAGAAAAATCCCTGTAGAACCGGAAGTAGAGCTGTGGCTCAAAGTGGTAGAATATTAGTCTTGTGTGAAAGAGCTCAGGAACAGTGCCCAGGCCCTGAGTTCAAGCCCCATGACCAAGAAAAGAAAAAAAAGCTTAAAAAAATATGTAAAAACCAGAAAAAAATAAGCAAAAAGCAATGCCCAAATCCAAGCTCCCTGCCCCCTTACACATACAAAAACTGTCAATGTAGACCCGGCCAGCGGACCACCACTCAGGAGCTCCCAGTGCTGGTAACGGACAAAGGTGGAGCAGAATGGCCTCCTATATACCTCCGCGGAGACTCCTTACTATGGCCCAGTGATGTCAGGGAATAAAGGACCAATCATAGCCGGTCAGGGGAAATGGACCAATCACAGTGGCCCAGGAAGGAAATGGACCACTCACAGCCAGACACCAGTGGCTGTCTAGCTCAGGGGCTCGAGGACTGTTGCCAAAGCCTCACACAAGGTGCCTGGGAGGATGCCCGCGATGCCACTGTGGCAGTGATGCAGGAACCACAGAGAGGGAGGTCCGTGGCCTCCAGCCTTCTCGCGCGCTGCTGGGCCACGTCCTAGTATTTGCTCCGGCTTCTGTGCTTGTGCGCCGTCCACATCCTCATACCTGCTTCTGCGAGGACCTGGCCACCTGCAGCGGCCACACAGACACCAACCAGTGGTCTCAGTCCTTCTCAAGAGCAGGCCTTGGGACTTGCCCCAACCATGAAAACATGATTTATTATGAAATAAAAAGCCTGAGTTTCCATTGGAAACTGACACAAAGTCTTTTTTTTTAATCTAGGATATTTTTATTTTAGTTTCATACAATATGGGGCTGGTGAATAAAAATGACTAAATCTGTAAATTCAATTATATTTCTCAGAACATTTTAAAAGCAAGCTATGTAAGAGGAAAATACATTTCAAAATGAGTATAAACCAATTTAAGCATATGCTGGAATTTGCTCTCACACTAATTTATACAATATATATTAATGAGTATACTATTACTTCAGTTTTGTTGTTTCTTTTTCTGTTTTCCTTTATTCTTTTCTTTCTTCCTTTCCCTTCCTTCCTTCCTTCTCTCCTTCCTTCCTTTTCTTCTTTCTTTCTTTCTTTCTTTCTTTTTTTCTTTCTTTCTTTCATGTTTGTGTGAGTATAGGCAGTATGTGTGTGCGCATGTGTGTATGTGTGTGTGCTTGTGTATGTGTATACTGAGGCTTCTTGCTCAACATTTTCATTCAAGGTTAACATGCCTCTATTTCCAGCTGGTTAAGGAGATAAACCCTCAGATCTGTCTTCCTTGAACTGTAACATATGAAATCTTATATTTTCCTCCCCAGACTAGATTAGAACAGCCATTCTGGAGCATGTGACCATCACTTCAGGCCAGGTATCCTTCTACATGGGTCTACTCTCAGCATTTGTGGCCTTGCTGTGGGACTGCATTATCACTCAATACACATATATTCTTTCTCCACCCTGAGCAATAACACAGCCTCCAACGGTGTCTCAGCTGTGATGTGGGCCTACACTTTTACCTGCTAGACAGAAGCTTCAACCTAGATCCTGCTCTGCACACTCCTAGTTCTTCTCCAGTATCATGCCATGTGCCACCGAGAGGGTTAATTCACTTTTTTTTGTTTTGTTTTTTGCAGGTACTGGGGCTTGAACTCAGGGCCTGGGCACTGTCTCTTAGCTGTTTTGCTCAAGGCTGGTGCTCTACCACTTGAACCACAGCTTCACCCTGGCTTTTTGGTGGTTAAAGGGAGATAAGAGTCTCACAGATTTCCTGCCTGGGCTGGGTGCAAACCTCAATCCTTAGATTTCAGCCTCCTGTATAGCTAGGATTACAGGCATGAGCCACCAGTGCCTGACCTAATTCTGCCTCTTCAAATAATTTCCCTCTTCATTTACATCTAACCACTAAAACTTTCTTCAAACTGTTATCAATCACGAGAAATTCTATGGTACAAAGGGTACTCAGCATATGGGAGGGAGCTCTCCATGTCTCACCAGAGCAGACTGGCTGGGGCTGAGCTCTGCAGAGCCTTGAGCCACTGGCCACATCCCTAAGACACTCTAGCCTGTGTGTAGCACCTGTGCAAGTTCCAGGAGCTCTGGCACCTCAGGTTCCCTAAGCTGAAGCCTGTTCACAGCTCTGACAGGAAGACAGCTGGGTGAACTGAACTTCAGGAACCTGGAATCAGGTGGAGACAATGATTCTGAGCAGAAGATAAGAAGCAGGACATTGATGGAGGGGTAGGAAAAGGAAGAGTAAATGGGGAGTGGGAGGCAAACAGTGAGGGCTACAAGACAGTAAACAAGGAAACAGGCAGTAAGGTCATGCTACAATTAAGGTGATGGATGTCATTCTGGTGGCTCTTGGTAGGTTCTGAGTTTGGGCTACACATCTCTATCACAGCCATCCAGTCCTAAACACGGAGAATAAAAAGGCAAAAGCCACCAGGGCAAATGCTGTGCTCTTTCATCCTGACCAAGGAGTTTTGATCTTCAGCAATGTAAGGATTCACGTGTTGTCATCATTTTGATGAAACAGCCTCACCATCCTGTCGGTGCCATTGAGAACATGATGTCCAAAAACATACCATACGCCCCCTAAACTTGCAAAACATCTCTCCTCAGCCATATTATCACATATTTCATTTACGTAATTTTTTGTGTGTAACAGTAGTGGGGCTTGAACTCAGGACCTTGTGTTCTCACTTAGCTTCTTTTGCTTAAGGCTGACACTCTACCACTTGAACCATACAATTCTGGTTTTTTGCTGGTTAATTAGAAATAAAAATCTCACAGACTTTTTCTGCCTGGGATCCTCAGATCTCAGCTTCCTGAGTAGCTAAGGCTATAGGCATGAGCCACCAGCTCCTGGCTCATATTACCATATATTTTACAACCATGAAGATCTTTAGCATCAATGATCAAGTGAAAAGAAATATGCGTTAGTAACTCCTTCAAAGTTATACTATTGGCCATTAAAGATAGTATTGCAAATTATCACTTAGAGGCACTGAGGATCCTGCATCCTAAGACAAAGACCAACCAGAGCCTGGAGGACTTAGGATCTTTCAAGGACATTTGCCTTCCTATTTAAGAAAGTGTCATGAGCAGAGTCAAATGAGGTATTTCTGGACATCCTTTTTTTTTTTTTTTTTTTTTGGTTGGTCTCAGGGCTTGAACTCTGGGTCTAGGCACTGTCCCTGCGCTCTTCAGCTCAAGGCGATAGCTCAAATGAGGTATTTCTAAGCCAGAAGAATACGCCAGGGGCCAACAAGAGTTGAAGGGACACTAAGAAGAGTTGGAGGAAGAAGAGTTCAGATGGCAGGAAAACAGGTAAAAGAGATCAGTTAATAAGAAGACAATTTCTGGTCCCTTTTGGAGGTGCTGATTGAAGGAGATTTACCAGGTAAGATGGACTCCTCAGAGATGCCAAGCCCAATACCTGCCACTCTTCAGCCCCTTGCTCATATAAAATTTTTTCGTCAGCTTCCTCATCTCCATTTGATATTCTATAACATCATGGTTAACTATTTTCTTCCTCCTGCCAGAATTTTAGCCTCACATGCCCCCACAAACCAACACCCTACACAGCAGGACTGTGAATCACCACTAGCACTGCCATCATCATGGAAACACTGATGCAGGACTGTGTGGGCCATTCCCATGCCATTCTTCCCACCGTGGTACCCACTTGATCTCCCACAGCTCTGTGCCTTGAGGGTTCATCACCCTGTATCATAGGTAGAAATACTCAGACACAGCCAAGAAGTTCCCTCAGCTGGGAAGAGGCTAAGCTCTCAGATATGTGGTTGTTCTCAAGTGTTCCACAAGGTGCAGTAGGATAGACAGGAACCCCCAAAGCTGCTTTAAAATACCTCATGGAAAAAATACCCCAGAAGGTGCCTCTACTGTCCCTTCAAGTTGACTCTTTACCACTCTGCTCCACTCAGGCATCCCAACTTTCCCAACACCTGCTCCCCTAAGTTCCCCCAACTTATTCACTCACCTTTTGCCCTATGCAAGCATCTCTTGCAGATTGGGAGGGGGTACAAGCAACATGTATGTTCCTCTCATACTCACAGGTAAGGTTATTCTGATTGCACAAGGAGGTGACAGTGATATATAACACTTGGTGCGTGTCACTATCACTATCCATGTGAAACTTCTGTCTGTCACTTCGTTTAACACTCAAAACAAAGCTCTCAATACCTGTGATCTCTCTGACTTCTCAGGTGAGGTAGCAGAGACACACAGCAAAAGACAGAGAGGAACAGGGAACCCAGATAGAGTGGTTCCCTAACCCAACTGCTCCTCCTCCAGCAAACAAGAAGGCCAGGAGCAGCAGGCTGAGGAGATCAAGGGCTGAAGTGAGGAACACCCTCCAAGAAAACACCACCTGTCCAGAATATGTGGAAGAATGGAAGGCGGGCATAGGGTCAGTCCTGGAGTCTGCATGGATGTGGTACTGAATTTAAAAGCAGAGGAGAAGGTCCAGAATGCAGCAATGTGACAGTTCTCTCAGCTCAAGGAAAAGGTTGGTCCCCAGACTTTCTCTGGGCTGACTGGAACCTTCAAAGATGATTCATAATGATATTAGAACCAAGGGCATTCCCCTCCACTTTACTAAGACTTCGTAATTTAGACAGATAAGCAAGAGAAAGGCATTCAGAGTTATTGCATGCACTGGGGCATCATGGGAAAACTAGTATCAGAAACACAGTGAGATGTAGAAGCTCCATAGGAATGAGGGAAATGGAAACTTTAAGCAATTTAGATAAATTCCCAGACCTGAAGATGAGCCCACATGTCGGTCATGATTGTGCCAGAAATG